TAATAGTTATTTATATAACCAGTTACGATATGCCTTAGTTTGTGTAACGAGTAAATATTTGCAAACGAGCGGAGCGAGTTCCCGCAACATGAACGACTTACACAAAACGGCATTTTGTAACGTGTTTATATACAAGATTTTTTCTAATTTTGACTTGATTATTTATAAAATTGTGTTGAAAAATGATTCACCATCATTCTTGTGTAGGTACTTCCAATCAAATATTTTAGAAAATTGTTGTATTTGATTGCCCTACGACGTTTTTTTTTTCAATAGTAATAATTAGGGACATGTGCAGTGTTGCCGATCTAATTTTTGACATTACCCGCGAGAAAATTGAAAAAAAAAACAGGTTTACCCATTAGCCTTAAAGAAGTACGTCAAAATTTTACCCCCAACATTTCTGGGCAGTTTTCAATAACGGTGTTATTTTAAAAATTAAACGCAATTTACAGCTTTTCTTTTTTGTTTTTAAACGTAATGTCATATTTTCAAATGTGAAATGTCACTATTCATTGCCTCTTTTTCGATATTTGGTTTTTTCGATTTTTCGTTTTTTGGATTTTTGGATTTTTCGATTTTTCGATTACTCGATTTCTCAATTTCTCGATTTCTCGATTTCTCGATTTCTCGATTTCACGATTTTTCAACTTAGAAACCAAAAAGAGGCAGTTTTATTTATTTTCATTTCGTAACTGGTGACATAATCAACTTTTCGTAATCAGTTGCATAATGTTCTACTTTATGCAAATGTCCATATAAATATTCATTAAATCTATTTAAGCCAAAAATTATTGCAAGGGCCTCTCTTTCAATTTGGGAATATTTTTGTTCGGACTTTGATAAGGTACACGAAGCAGAAGCTATAGATTTTTCAATATTTTTTTTTTTTTTCAAGAACATGACATATTATTATCATGGCCCTTATTCCCACATTTGATGCATCTACGAATAATTTAATCGGCAACTCAGGCTGAAAATGCACAAGAGCATCATTTATTTTTGATTTATTCCAAAGATTCCTTGCAAAAATTATCCCAAATCCATTTCACCCATAAAAAATTAGTGACTTAAAAAAATTACTTCCCAAAAAACGGTCCTCAAGCCAGGTCCCTCCATTTTGTGGCGATAGTACTGTTTTTTTTATTGTGATTATTTTCTTTGCGGAAACTTTGGCTTTACACTTTGAGTAAAACTGTTATAGAGAATTACTAAATAAATAGTTTTGAGAAAACTATTGAAACCAGTTGTGAAGTTTGAAACGAATAGATTGGCAATGAAATTGATATTTTTGTATTTGATTGTATGTTTCTCTTTTCACTTCCTAAAAAAAGATTCCCTATGAAACAAAAAATAGTAAACAGTTTATAATAATAACCTTTATTTGCTACTTATAACATGTACCAATAACCAAGTCCGATTCTGTTTATTTTCAAATCAACAAATATGGACGTCGACAGAATCTTTAAAAATTAAATATCTCACCGAAATAAATATTAGTTTCTTTTATCTCCATCACATTTCTCAGGTTTATTATAAATAAAGCTTTTTACAACACATCTTGGCATTTTCAACGTTAATTTCCAAAATTTAAGTCACTAAAATACCAAATTAATTCTCGTTGACACATTAAATTTGGATGAACAACGGTCTGACATGTGATGTTCTCAACTGTGATTGGTGGGTGTGAATCATTTTGAAATGGGATTATGCGCAGTGTCTTATGTTCCATCTAAGGTTTGTATAATCTAAGATTTTGCTTCAATATTTGAGACTTTTAGTTGATTGGAAAATAGTCGATGAGCAGAGAAATCGTTCATATTGGTGGTTCGTTTAAATTTTTTCCATAGATTCTTCCTATGTTCTATCATAGACAGCAGTTGATTATTTATCCAGGTTTTCAGATTTGTTCTAACATATTTATAAAACTTTTTGCTATCAGCACAGTTGGCGATGTACTCCTGATAGTTATACTTTGCTTCAATAACTGCGCCTTTAGTTGATTGAAGAATAGTCGATGAGCAGAGAAATCGTTCATATTGGTGGTTCGCTTAAATTTTTTCCATAGAATCTTTTGTTTTACCATAGACAGCAGTTGATTATTTATCCAGGGTTTCAGATTTGTTCTTCTATTTATTTTGTTTTTAGTATGAGATTTTACACAATCATTAACAGTATTCTGAAAGATATTCCACAAGCGGCTCGGATTATTATTATCAAGGATAATATTAATACAGTCTAGTTGGTTTAGATAGGAAAAAACTTCAGCAAAGTTTGTGAGTGAGAAGATAGTGTGATTGGACATGCAAGAAGAGGAAGATTGAAATTGTAAATGATACGTTATGACTGCATGATCAGATATTCCAACTGGTGGGAGATACACCGGTGCGGTTAAGAATTGTTTATCATTGGTAAGTAGTAGATCGAGGATAGAAGGAACGTTCCTGATTTATTCTAAATCTCGTGGGTTGGCTTATTAGCTGAACAAAACTGGAATTGTGAATCAATTCCATGAACTGATTGATAACATTATGCGTGTAAGGTATAGAAGTTATCGGCCATTTAATGTCTGGAAAATTGAAATCACCTACTATAATCAGCTTTTCAGAATTACTTAGATATCAAGTTTGCCTAGCAGTAGCAATAGATGTGTCTGGTGGACGGTTAATAACTGCAAGAGTATACACCCCAACTGGGGAAATACAAATGGACGGACGAAACATACCATGGACAAACACTGCGAGATACCTCGGAGTGCAACTGGACTAAGGACTGACATTCACCGAACACGTGACAAAAATAACGACAAGAACTACCGCGGTTAGGAGTAACCTCTACAGTGTCATAGGACGACGCAGTAAGTTACTAACCAAGACCAAACTACAGGTGATAAGATCTATAATCACACCCATACTGACATACGCTTCGGTTGCATGGGGACACACGTGCAAAACCAACAGGAAGAAAGTACAAGATCAACAAAATACACTACTACACTACAACAAAAACCACTACGGTTTTGGATATCAGTAAAGCCGAACATATTTTTAGAGATCTACTACAACACCCTAATCGCGAGCTGAGGGACCAGACAAACTACAAGAGACACGCGACCCAGAAAACAGCTGGAGTACGCAAACGACAACTAAAATAATTCTGTGGGAAAGCGCTAGATTTTAATTAGGTTAGTAGGCAAAACAAAAAAAACCAAAAACAAAAAAAATACAAAAAAAAATACAAAAAATACAAAAACCAAAAAAAATATAATAGTTTTTAGTTCGGTCATTCGGCGAAAATCGTACCCAGAACCATATTAGGTGTATTAATGTACGTTTTAGGTACAATCACATACTGTGAAGACTTCCACCTCCTACAGGTTTCTTCCCTTTGAGAGTCCCATTTCTGGGACTCGGAAAAGGGTATATTCTTCAGTAGGCAACAGACGAGAACAACCAGACAACTGACAACACACGTTACACACTGTTGGCTCATTTGGTCACCGTCAGAGGGGTCCAGATAAGCACTCACTGAGCAACGGACAACAACGCACCAACAAACCGCGAATGTATGAAAGAGAATGAATGTATAAGAGTTTTAGGTCCTCAACCGACTCTTATTAAATGACGATAACGCCTCAACCTTCACCGCTCAACCGAAAGTATGGAGTGCCAATTAAATGCTATTGACATGAGGACCAAGCAGCGGATAAAAAAGCTTGGGGGTGGATGGAAGGGTTTAGTAGGTTTCGATCCAGTTTAACAGGATGGGAACTTATTCGACTCGGGGCTATTACTGCGTGCGAGTAATACGGCAATCGAGGTGTTGCAGCTGCAAATAAAGAAAACGCAGTAGAAAAATTGCTTGTTGGAAAAAGGACAATACCATTAAGGAGAACCACAATTAGTATTTTCAAATTTGGGGCTACCTGCACATAACACAAATGGATTTTTTCATTTTGTGCGTTTGGACTTCTCGAGGAATAAAAGTGAAGAAAATCCCTCGAAATGGCAGCTTTTGGGAAGAAAAAAATGCAAAATAAAATTTAAAAATTTTATATGAAATATGCCTTACCAGAATTTGTTGATAGCAGAGCTAATAGAGGCATGGAAGTACGGGACAGAATACCAAATAAAAGGTGAGAAATTTTGTTTAATTTTTATTAACATGACGCAAAGAATCTTAAATTATTTTGAATATGTTTATTAATTTAAGAGTTACATTTTATTTATTTTTAAAAGATAGTAGCAAGTGATCCATTTAAGATATGATTAATGTCTTGTCATACAAGATATACCTTTACAAATTGTTACAATTACCAAACATAAGTTTGTTGACATAAACATTATTTTCAAAATACAAATAAATATATCTCTGTTAAAGAATGGTCATATTTTATTTAATATATTCATTTTAATGTTTTATTGAATACAAACTTTTTCTATATAATTTCTGTTACATTTTAATTCATTTTAACCCCAGGTTAAAAGGTTATTTATTATTATGACGTTTAAATTTTAACCTAAATCTCAATTCGATATTCGATCAATTTAATTTTGTGTTATTAGCTATTTTATAATCAATCCTAGTTAAAATAGACATGGAAACGACTAAAAATTTATTGAGGGTTGGAATTATAAAAAAGATGCCAATGAATATTTTTGTTTAATTTTTACATTAAATGCATTTTTGATAATCAACTAAATTTCATATAAAACTTCTTTTGGTTCTTTTTAAATAACAAAAGAATCAACTTGCTTTTGTTTGGACATTTTCAATACCTGATCTTGTTTACTGTGATTTATTATATTTACGGAAATGTCTTTCTTAAATACAGCTTTTTAAAGTCGGCGAACATTCGAAGCATAGACAAAATACAAATATACAGGACATCCAGTATAACAAAAACAAAAGACAAAGACGCCAGTAACAAGAAACTAAGATTTAATAAACGATTCGATTGAAATGGGTGGGTCTGGGTGAAGTATTTGCATAAATCTATAAATTAAATTTTTGCATTCATGAATGGTTATTATTACATGTCATTGAATGCGACAAGTAATCGGGTGAGCTTTCATGGTAAAAGGTTTCAATTGTTAGAATAGGTGAACCTCCACCAGAAGCAAAAAATAAAAAAAAGGTATGTACGAAACAATAATTATCTTAAACAGTCATTGGATTAATAGTGTTAAAAGTGGTTTGGTCTTCTTAAGAATGTTTGGATTTATCAATTTGTCATTTGAAAACCAGTAAATATTGAAATTGTGGTCTTCATTAACATAAAATATGACTAAATTGTTTTGCACAATTTCTTCGAAATTTAAATTTTTTTATTACTTTCAATCTGATGCATTTCTAACTATATCCATGTCATATACAGGGTGTCGGGAAATTGGGTGTACTTACACCGAGCTACCACAAACTTATCGTTAAACCAACTTGCGTTGTTTGGCCGCTAGAGGTCAACAAAGTTAAATAAAAATATCTATTTTTTTCTTTAATCTCCAGAATTCAGCCATTTTAAAAGATCAACCATTACACGAATACTAGGTGTTTTATAGCCAATTAAAAGTAGCAGAAACAATTTTTTTATTGCAATCATAAGCGCCTCTTTAGAGGAAGGGCAACAAACATTAGGCATTCCAACGACCTGTCGAAATGGCTACCAGTGGGTAATGACAGTTTAGATATGGCAACCCTGTTGTCATGTTGTCATTTAACAGGGTCAATGATACATATATAGTTATATAGCTTGCTCAAAGCTGGTCGTTTACGAGCGGCCATATTGCCTGGCAAATATTTATTAATTTGAATCGGTTTAGCAAAAATGTTTTTTAAAACAAATTTTTAGCCTTTAGGTATTTAAAAAAAAATAATTGCTTACATTTTTACTTCAAGGCATACGCTTATGTTTATTTTGAAAAATATGGATAATCAATCTATGTAACTATCTATTTCATTGACCTTGTCAAATCACCAGGTCTACAGGGTTGTCATAATTTTACAATATCATAACCCGTCAAAGCCCACTGGTAGGCATTCAGTTTGGAATGCCTAATTTTTTAATCTGTCACTTTTTGACATTTCTGACATTAAAATAGGAAACTCAAAACATTTACTCTGTCACCATGATGTACCAATTTGGAATTTTTTTAGATTATTTTAGATATTTGTTATTATTTTCGATTGACGTACCTTCAAAATAAATAATAATCTCTTCCATCATCTCATTTCGTTGTTTTTGTTAGAAGTTTTACGTACAATGCCATTAAACTTTATAATGAACTAAACGATGAGCTAAAAAATACTTATTCTCGATCAAGTTTTTAACACCAACTAAAAAAATTCCTACTCCAACAGCACGCCAACAATTTATAAATATTTTCCTGTTTAAAATTTAAATTTATTTTAATATTATTATTTCCATTATTGTTTTTGATCTGTTTTCTACCGTTTTAACCTTACTTATTTGTGTATTGTATTTTTACATTTTAAGTTATCTTAAAACTTTTATGTTCTAAATTCAGAGGAGTTAGATGTAAGAATAGCCTATGGCATTTTGAAAAATTATTAATAAAGACGGTTTATTATTATTATTATTATGGGACACTCTATATAAAAGGTAAGCAGCAGATCCTGCTATACTAAAACCCGAGAATACCGATCAAGGAGAAGAGACAGCTTGGTGTTTTTATTGTACCGTTTTGTAACGCGCATGTGCGAAAATAAGTTGTGTAGAACCACATACTTTGATTACTATACGAGGCAAGAGAGAGGTCCGACACGCCCAACATAGGGCGCGGCCATTTTGAACCCTGTGACACAGTTTACAGCTAAAGAATCAGATCGCTCACTCTGCGTCGGCACTTTTGATCTCAATGTTTCAGTTTATACACTGTGCAACTCGGATAATGCAATATATGAGAACCGCCTATAATAAAACAGCAGTCTTCTGCGTATCCTGAATTTGTATCCCTGGAGTGGATGTTATTTTGGAACTTTCAACTGGTCCGAGTGAGCTAACTGATTCTTTAGCAATAAACTGTGACTTCAAAAATAGTAGTCGTTTTCTTTTTACAAGCATAATTGACTAACTAAAAGTTAGATTCTTATCTAAGCTTAACTATAAAAAGCGCGAATTTTGGTTGACAGGTGACGTGCCCCATGCCATCCGTTTTAAAACAATCCATATTTTAATCAAATTTTATAATTTTTTCAACATTCAACACTACAAATCTCACCCTCTGTTATCATAGTCTTTTATTATCTCTAAAATAATGAATTCATGGGATATGTTTGTTCATATGATGCACAGAACACTCACTTTCTGTGATGGTTTATGGTTGACGTCAAGTACCGTGCACCTTAGCATCGGTAAGGGGGGAAGAAAGATTCTGACTTACAATCATAAAAAGAACGTACATCTCAGCTTAGTCGATGTAAGTTAGCTCAGATTAGTTGTAAAAAGAAAACGACTAATGTTCACTGACACTGACAGCAGCAAGCAAAATATCAGGTGCGTTTTAATCATCCGCTTCTGCTTCCGGGAGTGTCGGTTTAGTCGTTTTAACCTGTCAGATTAAAACAAGAAAACCGACAATTCCGAAGCAGAAGTGGATGATTAAAACGCACCTATTAAAAATATTGCGCCAAGATGTAGGCAACACGTAATAAGGGTTCAAAATGGCGGAGTTTTCTATCTCCTTTTAAAAGGCACTCAGAAAGCTGCGCAGTGCGACCATTCTCCGTATAGTAAAAGAAAATCAAAGTATGTGTGTAGAACTCAAAATGATGTTATCTGTCAAAGTCAGTCCAAGTTGTGTTTAGTACGTGAGCAATGTTAAGGTGATTACAGCACCCCCTTATAATTTTCGGACAAGCATATCTCAAAAAGTAATTTTTTTTTAAATTAAAATTTTGGCAAAATAAATTAGGCAATAATATCTAGAATGTGTTTATATTTTAAAGTTTTAATTATTTCCAGTTTCCAAGAAAAAAAATCAAAGGGCTTTAAATTTTGAAATATCAATGCAAATAAATACATTTCTCAACAGCAGTATTCTTAATATAATCCCCAAATTTAAGCTCTTAATCTCTTGTTAATGATTTTTTTAAAATTCGCCGAAATTAGTGGCTAAAACGCCTCGTTAAGTGCTGCTTTCTGGTGTAGCGCGTCTGTAACTATCGTATCGTACACTCTGAGTCATCATTCGTTTCTTGCACCGATTTACACCAGTTTACACCAGAAAATAGCACTTAACGAGGCATTTTAGCCACTAATTTCGGCGAATTTAAAAAAATCATTAACAAGAGATTAAGAGCTTAAATTTGGGGATTATATTAAGAATAGTGCTGTTGAAGAATGCATTTATTTTCATTATGATATTTCAAAATTTAAAGCTCTTTGATTTTTTTTCTCGGAAACTGGAAGGAATTAAAACTTTAAAATGTATGCATATTCTAGATATTATTGCCTAATATATTTTGCAAAAATTTTAATTTTTTAAAAAAATTACTTTTTGAGATATCCTTGTCCGAAAATTATAAGGGGGTGCTGTAATCACCTTAAGTGATATTTTTTGGTGTTTGTTTTGTGTAGTAGTAAGATGAATATTTTTAGACACTTAGGTATTCTAATATAGATATAAAATGTGCCAAAAAGTTATTAGGAAACTTAGAATTTTATCACATGCATAAATATTAAGTATAATGAATTAGTCATTTTTGACATTTTATTTTTCATATGTAGGTATTGGATTTTGTGAAATATATGATTGTCTTCTTTTAAATAAATTTAATAAACAATGAACTGCAGATTTTGTTTATTTTATTTTAAAATTATATTTAAAAAATATATAATAAATCGGCGTGTTTCAATTAGGATTGGTCATAGTGGGAGAAATCCCTTTATTATGACTAAATTTTAAGTTACAATTATGTGAATATAAAGATGTTTTGCCCATTCATATTTACATTTATTGAATGAATCATACTGGAATTCATTTTGGAAATATTGTTACATACTTAAATAAGTACTATTTCTAAAAATTCGTCTATACCCAGACATCACACATAGTCCAATGGACGTCCACTTTACATCCATTTAAGGGCAGGAGGATGTCCATATCCGGGCATCCAGTGTACGTCCGTTTATGCTAATTAATTTGACAGCTGAATATCGATACCCAGAGAACGTCTGTTTTTGGACTTAATTTTAAGTTTAGTAGTATTTTGATGTCCAGTGGGCGTTCATCTTAGGTATTTATTTATTAAGCCTACCAGATAATACCCATCTATATACACTTTTTTTTTAAATATAATTCGTCATTAAAAATTGACAAATTGAATCTATTGTATTTCATTCTGTCAGCGGAAGTTTGAAATCTTATTCCATTATAACTTTATCTAGTAAAAAGTTTTCAAGTGGTTCCTTGGTCGAGCTCGTCTAGCGATTGAAAGCGTAAAATGATAATAGATGTGTCGTGAGTTCAATCCCTGCTCAGGTCAAGCGATCCTTAATTTAAAAAAAATACGCGTGGCACTCGGGGACTGCCGCGGTAATGCTATTGCATAGCATTTTTTATCAACTTATGCAATTATAATTATTTATTTATTTTATTTATGCAGTATTTTTTTTCTTCGATATTAATTCAAGTTTTTTCTTTGATATTAATTCAAGTTTCACTTTTTGAGCGTGGTTTTTCTTTTATTGAATAAATGAGAAGTTAATATTGTTTAAAATATTTTTATTATCTTACAATACATGTAGGTTATTCAGGAATTTTGATTTTCCTATTTTTCGATTTTTCGGTTTTTCGATTTTCTTTTATTGAATAAATGAGAAGTTAATATTGTTTAACGCCGCACCGCTGTGTAGGTCGGAGTGGGGGGTGTTAGGTTTTTATTTCGTTACGGAATTTCTTGATTCGGTCGGCGCGCTCAAAGCCCGCAATAAAAGCTATGCAATAGCTTAAAAAATAAATAGTTTATAGCGGTTTGCGAAAATAATAAACACATTATTAATAATATAAAATAGTGTGTGGTGAGTTGCGGTTCTGTAAAAAAAGTGGGGATGTGGTCTCAAAGGAAATATAATCCTGGACGTTTTTTGAATGTCCAGTATTCGACGTCCAAATATAT